GCCATAACTTTTCCCATTCACCTAATCTATCAATATCCTGTTGTAATTTTATGTTGTTGTCAACATTGTCAATAATGTTGCCCAATTTTGTGTCATTACCAATTTTGGATATTTGACTTTTTAATGCGATTAGCAAAGTTGTGAATGAATATTGTGAATAAGCGAGCCCCAACACAGATCCCTGCATGACGTCACTAGTCACCTCCTGCCAGCTTGATTACTTACCCATTATTCCAACTCTTTCCTGTGACTCAACCAATTTCCTATCCATGTCAGTAATTTGCCCTTAATTCCATGGGCTTCCACCTTAGCTAACAGTCACTTGCGTGGGGCTTTATTAAAAACCTTCTAGATGTCCGTATAAATAACATCTGTCTACCACCTTCGTCACCTCTTCCAAAATCTCGATGAGGTTTGTCAGCCATGATGTACCCTTCATGAATCCGTGCTGACTGTCCCTGATCAGCTGAAATTTTTCGAGGTGATCAGTTACCTTATCCTTGCTTATACATCTAACAATTTCCTCACCATAGATGTCAGGCTAACTGACCTGTAATTCTCTGGTTTCCCTCTGTCATCCTTCTTGAAGAGCAGAGTGATATGAGCAACTTTCCAATTCAGATTTACAACTATTAAATCCAGATTTATGATGACACAAACATATGGCGGCTTGAGAAAAACATTCTAATGCAAATATTTTACCAAATAGAAAATTATCTTCAATAGTAGGAGTTGGGAGGTTATGTTGCGGCTGGACATTGGTTAGGCCACTTTTGGAATATTGCATGCAATTCTGGTCTCTGTGCTATAGGAAGGATGTTGTGAAACATGAAAGGGTTCAGAAAAGATTTGCAAGGATGTTGCCAGGGTTGGAGGATTTGGGCTGTGGGCTGTAGAGGCTGGGTCTATTTTCCCCGGAGCGTCAGAGGCTGAGACCTGACCTTATAGAAGTTTATAAAATCATGACGGGCATGGATAGGTTAAATAGACAAGGTCTTTTCCCTGGGGTGGGGGTGTCCAAACTTAGAGGGCATAGGTTTAAGGTGAGAGGGAAAAGATTTAAAAGGGACCTAAGGTGCAACATTTCCACACAGAGGGTGGTGCGTGTATGGAATGAGCTACAGAGGAAGCAGTGGAGGATGATCGTACAATTACAACATTTAACAGGCATCTGCATGGATATATGAGTAAGAAGGTTTTACAGACATATGGGCCAAATGGTGGCAAATGAGATTAGATTTATTTAGTCTGTTTGGCATGGTTGAGTTGGACTGAATGGTCTGTTTCCATTCCGTACATCTCTATGACTCTAAAGTTGTGTGTCTGAAGCTTTTTATTTGATAACCAAACTGTAGGAAAAATAATGGCTTCTGTGCAAATCTTAGTCCTCTTTCAAATTTCGGTACCTTAGAAATCCACCAATCATAGTGGGTAGTAAGCTTCACTAACACAATGGAATGGTTGAATAACTAACGCATGACTGATATTGATTGCCGACCCAGAAACAGTCTATTTTAGATCTAGTAATATGTAATGGAGTAGGATGAAGAAGAGATCTCATAGTTACGGATCCTCCAGCAGTGTAGTAATCACATCATGGTAGGCTTTCAATTGAAGGAAAATAATTTGGGTTTCAAACTTGTGTTTTCAACTTAAACAGGGACAATTATGGTGATGTGAAGAAACTTTGGCTAAAGCAGGCTAGGAAAATTGACTAAGGAGAAGGTTAGTAAATGAGCAGTGACAAACATTTAAGCAGATATTCTGTAACACTCAGGAAACACTTACTCTGGTCAAAAAGAAGAACTCAATGAGAAGGATGAACCACCTGTGGTTAACAAGGCATTCAAGAAGAACATCCAATCAAAAGGTAAAGCATACAAAGCAGCAAAATCTATTGGTACGCTAGAAGATTAGGACTCTTTTAAAAACCAGCAGGGGTGGCTAAAAAACTAATGAAAAGGTAAAAAAATTGATAATGAAAGTAAATTGACAAGAGATATATAAAAAAAACAAAAGAGGTTCTGTGGGAATATAAAATGGAAAAGAGTAGTTAAGGTGTGTGGGAACCTTGGAGGATATGACTGGAGAGTCAAGAACAGGGAGCAGGGAAATGGCAAATAACTTAAACCAATATTTTGCATCCGTCCTCAAAGTGGAGGATACCATAAATATTCCAGAGGTAACAGAGAAAGCCCAAAGTCCAAGGAGGAAATACCTTTCATGGCGGACAAAGTATTTGTAAAAATAACAGGACTGAAGGCAGATGGCCTGCAGAAAAGACTTTAAAGTCATAAGGATCTGTCCTAGGGCCTCAATTATTTAATATCTATATTATTAAATTGAGGAGGGTAGAAGAGTGTGATGTATCCAAATTTGCTAACAATACAAAAATAGGTGGGGAAGTATGCTATAAAGAATCTGCAAGGGGATATAGATAGGTTGAGTGAGTGAGAAAAACTTGGCAGATAAGGTTTAATATAGGAAAGCTTGAGGTCTCACACTTTGGTTGGAAGATTCAAAAGAAAGATTATTATTCAATTGAAGAGATTCCAACAAAGTGCAGTGCAGAGGGATCTAAGTGTGCTTGAGGTCTCACACTTTGGTTGGAAGATTCAAAAGAAAGATTATTATTCAATTGAAGAGATTCCAACAAAGTGCAGTGCAGAGGGATCTAAGTGTGCTTGTGCATGAAATATGAAATGTTAGCATTCAGGTGCAGCAAATAATTAAGAAGGCATACAGAATTTTGGACTTTATTGCTTGGGGTTTGGAGTATAAAAATAGGTAAATCTTGTTATAACTGTGCAGGGTAATGGTGAGATCTCACTTGGAGTACTGAGTACAGTCTTGGTCATCATGTTTATGAAGGGATATACTGGCACTGGAGTTAGTTCAAAAGAAATTCACTAGTCTGATTCTTGGGATGCAGGGGTTGACTTATCAAGAATGGTTAAACAGATTAGGTAGAGTTTAAGAAAATGCGGGGCGATCTTATTGAAACACACAAGATTCTAAGGGGACCTGATAGGGTGGATGTTGAGAAGATCGTTTTCACTGTTGGAGGAATCGCAAACTAGGGAACATAGTTACAGAATAAGGAGTCACTCATTTAAAATTGGGGTGCAAAGGAATTTCTTAAACCAGAGGGTAGTGAATGTCTGGAATTCTCTGAACCAGGGGGTTGTGGAGGCTACAGCACTGTAAGTATTGAGGATGAGGTAGATAGAGTTTTGAAATATCGATACATTGAGGACTCTGAGGAGCTGGCACAACCGAGGAGTTGAGGCCTTCGGCAGATCAGCCATGATATTGCAGAATGGTGGGACAGGTTTGACAGCCTGAGTGGCCTATTCATGCCAATTTTTATGTTCAATGTATGTCTTTTTGACTTAGAATATTGATCACCGATTCATACACCTCAGAAGACCACTCAGCCCATCATTTTTGTGATGGTTCCTGGAAAGAGCCAATCTTCTGCTATTCTTTCAAGGAATGTGGGCATCTTTGACTAGGTCAGCAGTTACTAATCCCTGAAAACCTTGAGAGAGTGGTGGGGAGCTCCTTTCTCAAACTGTTGCAATCCATGTGGGGTGGGAATGTCACAATACTATTAGTAAGGGAATTCTAGGATTTTAGCCCAGCTACAATGAAGTAACAGTGATATAGTTTCAAGTCAGGTTAGCGTGTGACATGGAGGAGAACCTGCAGGTCCCTTTTTGCAGCTCTTTCTCCGTAGTCCTGCATTATCTTTTCTTTATATTTTGCAAATTGTTCCTGAAAGCACTAACTGGATCTACATCCACCATCAATTTTGGTTCAGATTATGACAACTCGCGGCATAAAAATTGTTTTCATTAACTTGTCTCTTTTTTTTGGCCAATTGTCTGTAGGCTGCTTCGTCCAGTTACTGACCTTTTTACTAGTGGAAACAATATCCCGTTATCTAATCTATTCAAACCAGTTATAATTTTGAACATTTTTGTTCAATCTTCCCTGCACTACAGAAAATGATCCTAGATTCTGCTGTCTTTCCACACAACTCAAGTCTCTCATTCTCAAAACACTGTGCCCAGAACTAGGCACGATACTCCAGCTCAGGCCTAACCAGTGAGTTATAAAGGTATGGTACAATTTCCTTACTTCTGCTCTATGTCCTGAATAAGATCTTGGATCCTGTATGCAATTTTCTTTTAGCAACCTTAACATTTTGGCCCGCTACCTACAAAGAATCATGTATTAGAGCTCCATGGGAGGAAAAAATAACCATTAAAACAAACCCTTCTTAATTCAACATTTTACAATGTTAATATGAGAGACTGCAGCCTTCTTCTGTAAAATTACTTTAAATTTGCACTAATTTATTTGGCTGTCCCATTGGTCTAGTGGGTGAATGCACCAAGTGCTGCAGCATTGAGCAACAAACAGCCGTAAGTTTAATGCTATCTCGCTTCTCTGATCTCAGCCAGTAGCAGCATTTAATCACAGGGAATGGGTGAATAAAAGCCTGTCAGTACTTGTTGGATAGGTTTAACATAATAGTCATTCAGCTGAGCCATCAGAAGTACAGTAAGTGGTGATGAATCTGTGGCCCAGCAAGCGTCAGCATCCTTACAAGAGGAAGAAGGAAAAGAATGGTGACGTAAATTACATCAGCAGATACAGAGGAAGGTGTTCGATAGCAATATCACTTGGGGGACAGAATTATGGTATAAAACATTTACCAAAGTTATGCGAATTCATATGCTTGCTTTGCTGCAAACCAACTTTGCTTCCTAGCCCATTTTCTTAGTTGTAAATCCACTACTTTTGTTCGATGTACAAGTTGAAACTACATTGGCAAAGTCATATGCTGCAATTGAACAGTTTATGGCTATGCCAATGTGACTGATCCTATCCGTACATATATACAGTTGCTGTATAGTCATTGCCTCCAGAAAAACAGAACCAATTCCCATTCAAATTCAACACACTTAAATTTGCTGTTTACAGAAAAAAACTCACAAGAGGAAATTGACTTTTTCCAAATAAGGCAACGTATACTTCTGTATTCAGTTCTCCAAGATGTTGTGGCTCCACTACTAAAGGGATCTCTGCAGTGGAACAGGCCTCAATAATTCCATATGGTTCAGAGCTGGAATAAAGTATGCCATGTTGTTTATCCAAATCCTGAGAAAAGAAGCAGCAAACACAAGAAAGGTTACAGTTAGAGTTAAATATATGTTCCAATACCACCCAATAAATTAATGCAGAGTGCTGAAAGACACAATGCAGCATTTTCAAGATATACTTGCAAGTCTACTTCAGCAGCACCCCAAAACCTGTAGCTTCCATCACATAATGGCAACAGATGCACAGGAATGTCAATATCGCCAATGTCTGCCCAAAGCACATGCATCTTAATTTAGATTTTTATACTTGCAGTTCTTTAATTGTCTCTGGTCAAAATCCAAGAGCCCTCTCCCTAACAGTACTATGGAAGCAACTATACACATGAACAGCAGCATTTCAGAAAGGCAGCTCAAAATCACCTTTTTGGGTGAATGGGCAATAAACACTGAGCCATGCTGAGAAGGCCACATTTCATGAATGTATTTCTTTTTAAAAACCTGTCACAAGACTGAGCAGCATCTCACGCCCTAGGGGAAAACAAACTGTAAAAAAAACACAGTACCACTTGGAAATAAATGCACTCATTGGTCTAGAGCTCAATTTTGAAGTATACAAGACAAGTTGGACCAGTATGCATCATTCACCGCAGGTTCTACTGTGTTCACCTTCTGGGACTGAATGAATCTACTTTTTGTTAACCCTTTTGTTCAGCAAGGTGAAGATTCTGAGTGCTGGGTGTGAAAAATATTCAGATAGCATGCAGGTACACCTAAGAGTGGCTTCTCTAAGTAAGACTGTCAATTCTGACTTGTTTTGTGCATGCTTGTATAAGAACTGGATTGAGTTTGTCCAAAATGATTCCATACATTAGCTCATTCAGGAGAATTTCATTCCATCAGTCTGAATTTATAAGTCCAGATTCCAGATCCAAAAGGTCCAATTGCATGATCTTATCCTTGTGGGCCCATATGTTTAAACACAAAGTTGTTCTAAAACAATTTCTGAAACAGGTAAATTCTGTTCCATCTTTAAACATAACCATGCATTTAACCACAAAACTATTATTGACGTAATCAAGGATAATATAGTCAAGAGAACAGGCACTGTTCTTTTTAGACAGGATCAAGAGTCCTGAAGGCTGTGTTGCCTGCCTGGTGCCCAGGTTCAGGATATTTCAACTGGACTGCAGAGAAACTTGGAGTGGGAGGGGAAAGATCCAATTGCCATGGTCCATGTAGGTACCAAAGATATAGGTAGAAAGAGGAAAGAGGTTCTGCTGAGGGAATATGAGCAGCTAGTGGCTAAATTGAAAAGCTGAATCAAAAAGGTATTACTACCGGATTACTACCTGAACCACAAGCTAATTGGCACAGGGTCAACAAGATTAAAAAAGTAAACACATGGCTCAAAGATTGGTGTGGGAGAAACGGGTTTGAATTAGTGAGAGATTGGCACCAGTTCTGTAGAAGGAAGGAGCTGTTCTGATGAGACAGGCTCCACTTGAATCATGCCAGGACCTGAGTCCTGGCAAATTGGATAACTAGGGCTGTGGGTAGGGATTTAAACTAAATAGTGGGGAGATGGATTCAGTTGCAGGGAAAATTATAGAAAAAGTGGAAGGTGGGGAGGGCTCAGCAGAGGTTATTAAAGTTTCTAGAATAAGTAATAGGACAGACAGCATGGAAAGGGTCAGGAATCTAACTTCAGGCATAGCAGATGAGGGGACAATTATGAGAAGGGGTGGCAGTCAATGCAGGACTGAAGGCATTGTGCGCAATACTCGAAAAAAAGTGAATGAGCTTGAATAGCAATTGGAAATTTATGGATACAATGTTATGGGAATCACAGAAAGGTGGCTGCAAGGAAATTAGGGCTCAGAACTAAATATCCAAGGATACACATTGAAAAGACAGGCAGACGAACAAAGGGGGCAGGGTTATGCACTTTGCTAGGAAGAGTGGAGGTATAGATAATTTTCTAAATGGGGAAAGGCTGGAGCACAAAGGGTCTTGGGAGTCCTAGTTCAGGATCCTCCTAAGTTTAACATGCAGGTTCAACTGGTAGTTAGGAAGGCAAATACAATGTCAGCATTCATTTCAAGATGGCTAGAATACAACAGCAGAAATGTACTTCTGAGGTTGTAATAACGTTTGTTCAGACAGCATGTGGAATATTGTGCGCAGTTTTGGGCTCTGTTTCTCAGGAAGGAAGAGCTGGCCTTAGAAGGGGTCCAGAGGAGGTTTACAAGAATGATCCTGGGGATGAAGGGCTTGTCATATGAGGAACGGTTGAGAACTCTGGGTCTGACTAGATAGAGTTTAACTGACAGAATACTGAGACGCTTGGATATAATGGTTGTAGAGATGTTTCCACTTGTAGGAGAGATGAGGACCAGAAGGAACAGCCTTAGTGTGAAGGGATGACCCTTCAGAACTGAGTTGAGGAGGAAATTCTTCAGCCAGACGGTGGTGAGTCTGTGGAATTCATTGCCACAGAAGGTTGTGGAGGCCAAGCCATTGAGTGTATTTAAGACAGAGATGGCTAGGTTCTTGATTAGTATAAAGAGATCAAGAATTACGGGGAGAAGCCAGGAGAATGGTGTTGAGAAACATATCAGCCATGATTGAATGATGGAACAAATTCTATACGACAAATAGGCCTAATTCTGCTCCTATATATTATGATTTTATTTTGCCAGAGGAGACATAAAACAGAACGCTGTGCAAATGATCTTACTGAACAGCACGGTGGCTCAGTGGTTAGCACTGCTGCCTCACAGCACCAGGGACCCGGGTTCAATTCCACCCTCGGGCAACTGCCTGTGTGGAGTTTGCACATTCTCCCTGTGTCTGCATGGGTTTCCTCTGGGTGCTCTGGTTTCTTCCCACAGTCCAAAGATGGGCAGGTTAGGTGGACTGGCCATGCTAAATTGCCCGTGGTGTCCAGGGTTGTTTTGGTTAGGTGGGTTAGACAAGTGGAAATGCAGGGGTAGGGGAATGAGTTGGGGTGGGATGCTCTTCAGAGGGGCAGTGGACTAGTTGGGCAGAATGGCCTGTTTCCACACTGTAGGGATTCTATTCTATTCTGGACACTAAAATAAAGAGAAGCTAGGTTCTAGCTCATAGCAAAGGCCCATCCTCATAACATCTATACTGGAGCAGTTTATTAGATGCAAGGGATTCACAAATTTGTTGAAAACACCAGTACCCAAAATCCAAGAGTTTAATTTTCAATCTGTTCAATGTATTCGGTGAGAATTAATTTTATAGAATTCTACTTAGCTTTACAAAAATCACTAGCATTTCATTATCAGAGCCACTTAATTGCAGCTACCTTTGGGACTATTCAGTGGTATTTCAGCCACAGTGAGCACAACTGGGAGCTCATTACTGGCAACTTGTTACAAACAGTTCATTATTGGCAGCTTTAGGGAATGTGCATTAATTTTCATAAATAGTTTTTAAGTTAAATATGCATCCCTGCATAAATGAAAAAATGATTTGTGAGGACACAACAAAAATCACAGCAATATTTTAAGCATAAATTCAACTATGGGAACAAGTGGGCAGTGGCACTTTAGAAAAATGATAATGCTGAGGATTCAGACAGTCACAAACAGCAAACTTCAAATCATAGTCTTATTTTAACCGCAAATCATACTCTCATGTTTATATGAAATTTAAATAAATGAATTGATGTCAGTGTGCTAGACGTCTGCCCATCTAAGTCCTTGAACCTGACTGGCTTTAGCTTCAAATTCTGATTGGTTTTTATGAACAAAATTCCTTTAGCTTCTATTCTTAGTTTAGAACTATTCATTGGTAGGAAAGCAATCAGCAGCTGGACAGATACTGCTGATACATACTTAGATACCAATCCACAAACGTAATCAGAGTGGTTCGTCTTTCTGGCTTCAATTATAGTTTTTTTTATTATCAGTGTTGGTTGCCAAATTTTGCAATTTTTTTTTTCCTTTCAGAAATATCAGCATTAGGTTTAATTTATGAAATACTTTTTTTTGGTGAATAGTACTTTTCATTTCAGTTTTGTTGCTAGAAAATGTAGCATCTCAATTCCATGCACCATTCTCTAGCTAATAGGTCACCTATCTTACACGTGTCTGCCAGTTTCATTCTTCAGCTAATTATTTAGTGGGGCCTGAATTCAGGCTTGGTGACTCAAACTTGCTAGATCCGGATCCTTGTCAAGGCCCATTCACTTCAGTGAGACTGGGAACTCATACAGAACTACTCAAACTCCACCATACCACCTACTGTTTAATATTCAGGAACACACTTTGGATATCTGCACAGCCAGCCCAAATCAAATTGCCCTCATACTTATGCTTCATTGACTTTGCAATGTTCTCTTCTCTATTAATGTTAAATTCAGTTCCGTTCCTCAGAAATTACAGTCATAACCTTCAATATCCCACTGTTCAAAAACTTCCTGTAATGTCGCAAAGTCATCAGGAACTGTATGCAAAAAATATTGGGTGTAATCTGGTGAAGGGAACAAGGACAGTCAAGGCACTTAATTATTTGAAATACACAACATCACTTTGCTGCCAGCAAGACTCCAATTTGATTCACTCCCTCTGATATCAAGAATTGGCTGGAGGTAATGAATACAGCAAAGGCAATGGGCCCTGACCTCATTCCAGTAATAATGCTGAAATCTTGTGCTCCAGAACTTGCTTCCAACCTAGCCAAGCTGTTCTAGGACAGTTACAACACTGGTATCCACCAGACCATGTAGAAAATTGCCCAGGTGTACCTTGTACACAACAAGCAGGACAAATCCAAATGACGTTTTGAAATGAAGTCTCGTTCGTCTGAGAACAGGATGCTGAGAAAATATGGGGTGGCACGGTGGCTCAGTGGTTAGCACTGCTGCCTCACAGCGCCAGGGACCCAGGTTCAATTCCACCCTCGGGTGACTGTCTGTGTGGAATTTGCACATTCTCCACGTGTCTGTGTGCTCCAGTTTCCTCCCACAGTCCAAAGATGTGCAGGCTAGGTGGATTAGCCATGCTAAATTGCCCATAGTGTTCAGGGATATGAAGATTGGGTGGTTTTTGGGGTTGGGTGTGGGTGGGATGCTCTGAGGGTCAGTGTGGACTTGTTGGGCCAAAGGGCCTGTTTCCACACTGTAGGGATTCTATGAGATCTATGAAATCCAACCCAGCTAATTACTGTCCCATCAGTCTATGCTCGATCTCAGTAAAATGCTGGCTGGTGTGAACAACAGCACAATCAAGTACCACTTACTTAACAATAACCTGCTCATTGACACTCAGCTTAGATTCTGCAGGGCGACTCAGCTCCTGACCTCATTACAGCCTTGTTCAAACATAAACAAAATACCTAACATCCAAAGGTGAGATGAAAGCAATGTCCCTGACATCAAGTTTGTGTTTGACTGAGTATGGCATAGCATACACACTTTAATTTTGTTTAAAACCTCCTAGATGGGACTTCATCAAAAGCTTTCTCAAATTCCACATACAGCACTATGGTTGACTATGTGAGAAGAGTGAGAGCAACAGTTAATGGCTTGCAGACCAGTTTTGGATCTTCATCAAGCTTCTCCCTGAGATGAGCTCACTGAGGCAGTGTGCACTCTGAAGGCAGTCGCTTGAGAGAATGAAAGCTGCCTGTCATCCTGTGAACCAGTGAATTTTTATGCATTGCTGCAATAGGCCATCTAGCCAATAATGGCCATTTCTCGTGCACCCCCTGTACTCAACAACCTATGGCCTTTTCCTTATTAATTAAAAAATAGCCTCTCTGACATAATCAAACCAGTAACTATTCATTTCAATTAGGACTAACCTGTGGAATTAGTCCATAACATGCTGGAAGATCATTGGTATTCTGAAGTTTTATCATGCATTCATAAGGGTGCTTGACAAAGCAGCGTCCAAGGTCCATCTGTTGGTTAACCACCTCCACATTGGGAACAATGCATCTGTCAAACAGAAGTTGTTAAAAGCTGGTACCAAGTTAGTCAGTCATTGTGAGATACCTACAGTAACATGTAAGCTTTACCATCTGTTAATTACATGGTGAAGCAAAAAGGATTAGCAGTAATCTAGAGTGTCAATTAGAGACATATGGTCTGCTTTGTCTGAAGGCACTACTGCACAAAGAACTGTGCTGCCTTAAATAAAACATTCAATTACATGTCTATCAAGAAGAAATGAATGTCAAGAGATAAACAGATCATGGCTAACCCTAAAATTGTGCCTAAGTTTATTGCATTTGTATAACTGTTGAGGCAGGATTTTCCCCTGTAGCAGGTTTATCTCCATATTTCCACCTGAAGTCCTACACTGTCTGAACAAGCCTAATTTTCCACAATGCACCTTCATGGTATTACTATATGTATCCTGTTATGACAACCATGCTGTTCAAATACAAAGTGATATTGATCAGTGCAATAAAATGTTGACACATCTTCCATAACAACTTTTCAGAATTGAGGAAATTTCATCCTCCATTGTTCCCAGATTCAGACTGACTCTTTCTACCATCTTCTTCCAGATGACTCTGACCCTGTTGTTAATTGCATGCTGGGTTCAAGTTCAGCACACTGAATTCCAAACTTTTTCAGAATAGGCAACTTCAAAGCAACCTCACTGAAATTCACAGCCTGATTTGAATTACTTCCTGCAGTATTCCCTGCAACATCCCTATTCCTGATCACAAAGGCAGCATTAAGAACAACTATATTCTCTTCCTTTGAACCTGCTGTACGTAATGTACCAGGAATCCACTGGAGTCTGGTAATGGAATATAGTTCTGAAGAAAGGTCACTGGACCTGAAACATTATTTCTGCTTTCCCTCCACAGACGCTGCCAGACCTGCTGAGTTTCTCCAGCAATTTCTGTTTTTGTTTGCGATAGAATATAGTTGTTTGCCATGAATCACTGGACTTTTTCGAATACATTTAAACCTAGCCTAAAAGATGTAAAATTGGCATTGTGGATTAACATTCTGTAATAAGACCAGCCCCATTTTCATTTTCAATGAGATTGAGATTTTTCTCATTTCCAAGTTCTTCTTCTAACTGGTTAACCAACTCCGTACAGGATGTTGCAAAAGGTGATGGTTTTGAAGGAGTTAATGTTCATGCTGTGTGAGACAAAAAAACCCACAGATGCTGGAATCCAAGGTAGACAAGGAACTGAAGAAGGTCAATACCTGAAACGTTGACTTTTTTCCTTCAGATGCTGCCTGACTTCCTGTGTTCTTCCAGCCTCCTGTCTGTCTACCAACATTCATGCTGCATTGGCTTCATCCATTCTACTGATGTCTCACACAATCTTTGGTGGAGACAAGGAGTTCCAATCCAGCTTTTGAAGGGAGCAGACATATCTTCACCAACTCTTAAGGTGCTAGTAACTGTGCCTGATCTTCTTGTTCTCCAAGAACAGGATCTCTCTAAGAACAGGATCTCTCTTAGAACAGGGTCTCTCTAAGAACAGGATCTCAGTAATCTGCCAGGATGTTGTTTGTGGGGTTTCGGAAATAGTAATGCCATTGAACATCAAGGGGCAATATTAATTCTCCTGTGCTGGAAGATCTACACTCTATGGTGATATACCCTCTATCAGGAAACTAGACAGGCCCAAGACATAGCAAAGACAAAGGATGTTGGAAGCAGTAGAATATCTCGAACAACGTTTACACAGTACCATATGATATAGGTGGCAAATTTCACAAGGCTCCAGCAGTTGTCATCAAGAAAAATAAAACACTGGTGGTATTTGCAATGTATCACGCTGAGAAGATCAGTTGTTGGCTTTCTGGTTGCCATTTACTTTATATCCGTAGCCCATTTTATCCATATACAAATGATGAATGTAAAGAAACATTACCGTGCCATGATGGGTATTACTAGAACTTCCAGGCCAAGGTTCTTCACCTCTACAATGAGGGACGTCTCATATTTTTTTATAGTGTTGGGGCAAAATGACACCTAGGAGAAAAAAGAAAAATGAATGAGAATTTATTATTTCTGACCCTCTGCAGAGTTCAATATAGATTAACAGTCTTGGCTTGGCTATGGAAGAAATTTGATGATAAAATATCACAAAACAAATTACATGTAGAAGTAGATTAGAATTCAAAGGGAGAGTGGAGGTAATTCATCTTAAGCAGTAGGAAAAACAGGCAGTAGTTATTAAGTAGTAAATTTATCATCCCACTCGACTTGCTCCATTACGCATGACCAGTTTTTCGCCATGGACAGAATTTAATTGATATGATGGTGGGGGGCACAAAGGATGTGGGCATTCTTAATGAGGCCAACACTGATTGTCCATCCCTAATTGCACTTGGGACGATGCTACTGAACCGCTTTCTTGGACTACTGCAATCAGGGTATTGGTAGACCTACAGTACTGTTAGACAGAGAGTTCCAGGATTTTGACCCAGTGTCAGTGAAGGAACAGCAATATATTTCCAAGTCAGGATGGCTTGCCATGGAGAGATCTTGCCAGTGGTGGTGTTTCCAGCTATCCGCTCCCCTTGGCCTTCTAGGAAATAAAAGTCATGGGTTTGGAAGGTGCTGTCAAAAGAGGCTTGATGATATGCTGCAGTATATCTTTTAAATGGTACACGTCGTGTGACCATTCAACGGTGGGAAGGGAATGAATGTTGAAGTTAGTGGATGTGGTGCCAATCAAAAGGGATGCTATGTCCTGGATGGTGGTGACCTTCTAGAATTTTGTTGGAGTTCCAAACATCCAGAAAAGTGGTTAATATTCCATCACACTCCTGACTTGGGCCTTGAAGATGCTGGGCAGGCATTCAGGAAAAAGGAAGTGAGTTACTCATTGTAGAATTCCAAGCATCTGACCTGATCTTGCTGCCAAAGTGTTGGTCCAGTTCAGGTTTCTGGTTGATAGTAATCTGCCAAGATGTTGTTTATGGGGATTCAGAAATAGTAATGCCATTGAACATCAAGGGGCAATATTAATTCTCCTTTGCTGGAAATGGCAAATGTCTGCCTCTTGTGTGGTGCATATGTTGCTTGTCATTTTCAGCCCCAGCCTAGATACTGTTCACATCTTGCTGTATTTGGACAAGAATGACATCAGTTTTTGAGGAGTCACGAATGGTGCTGAACATTGTTCAATCATCAGCAAACATCTCCACTTCTGACCTTATCACGGAGGGGAGGCCAGTGATGAGACAGCTGAAGATGTCTGGGCCTAGGATACACCCCGAAGGACTCCTGCAGAAATGTCCTTGGAGTGAGATGTTTGCTCCAACAATCGCAACCAAGTTCCTTTGTTCTGAGAATGGTTCCAACCAATGGAGAGTCTTGTGGTGATTCCCAGCAACTTCATTTTTGCAAGGGAACTTTGATGCCACATTCAGTCAAATGCAGCCTTGATGTAGTGAGCAGACACGCATCTTAAATTCAGCTCTTTTGTTTATGTTTGGATTAAGGCACTAATGAGGTCAGGAGTTGAGTGGTGTCACTGAACCAAAACTGAACCAAATCAGTCAGCAAGTTGTTTCAGAGATAGTAGGAACTGCAGATGCTGGAGAATCTGAGATAACAAGGTGTAGAGCTGGATGAACACAGCAGGCCAAGCTGCTTCAGAGGAGCAGGAAAGCTGACGTTTCGGGCCGAGACCCTTCATCAGAAATGGGGGAGGGGAAGGGTGTTCTGAAATAAATAGGGAGAGAGGGGGAGGCGGATAGAAGATGGATAGAGAAGATAGGTGGAGAGGAGACAGACAGGTCAAAGAGGCGGGGATG